TCTTTCCCTGAAAGCTCCTAACTCTCATTTAATCACAAAGTCCTATTGATGCTACCTCTTAGATAATAGTTAACATTTATTAAGCCCTTTCCATGTGGGAAGCTCTGTTCTGAGTGCTTTTTACAAGAGCTATCTCAATAAATCTTCACAATTGCCTTTTTAGTCAGGTAATGCTTACAGATGCGGTCTCTGAGTTACAGTGAGTTTAAATAATTTGCCCAACCAACAGACACGTGAAAAGATGCTCAACATCGCTAATCATCAGAGAAATGAAATTCAAAACCGCAACGAGATATCACCTTATACCTGTCAGAATGGCTGTCGTCAAAAAAAAACAAATAGCGAATGTTGGCAAGGATGTGGAGAAAAGGGAACCCTTGTATACTGTTGGTGGGAATGTAAATTGGTGCAGCCACTGTGGAAAACAGTATGCAGGTTCCTCAGAAACCTAAAAATGCAACTACTGTATGATCCAGCAATTCCACTCCTGGGTATATATCTGAAGAAAATGAAAACACTAATTCGAAAAGATATATGTTCATAGCATTATTTATAGTTGCCAAGATATGGACGCAACTTAAGTGTCCATCAACAAATGAATGGATAAAGGAGATGTGATATATATATATATATATATATATACATATACACATATATATATACATATATATACACATACACACACACACACACACACACACACACACACACACAATGGAGTACCCACTCAGCCATAAAAAAAGAATTAAATTTTGGCGTTTGCAACAACATGGGTGGACTTGGAGGGTATTATGCTTAGGTAAGTCAGAGGAAGACAAATACTGTATGTTATCACTTATATATGGAATCTAAATAAAACGAACTAGTGAATATAACAAAAAAAAATCAGACTCACAGATATAGAGAATAAACTAGTGGTGACCAGTGGGGAGAGGGAAGGGGAGAGGAGCAAAATGGGGTAGGAGATTAAGAGGTACAAACAACTGTGTATAAAATAAATAAGCTACAAGGATATATTGTACAGTACAGGGAATACAGCCAATATTTTATAAAAACTATAAATGAAGTATAATCTTTAAAAATTGTGAGTCACTATGTTGTATACCTAAGGTATATAATATTGTGAATCAACTATACCTTAATTTAAAAAAAGCAGTAATAATAATTTGTCCAAGATCACCTGCTAATGAAGTCACAAAGAATCTGGCTCCTCAGCTCACACTGGTTTCTCTTCAATCAGCCTACTTGTTTCTGTTCCCCTGCTACCATCCTATTCTGGCCATTATTCTCTCTCAACTGCACTAGTGTATTAGGGGCCTCTCAAATCTGTATTTCACACTGAAGTCAGAGTCATCTTTCAAAGATATAAATCCGATCACATCACTTCCTATTTAAAATCCATTAACTGTTTTCAGGGACTTTGATGATTGGTCCTTGCACACTTCAAGGTCTAGCTTCTTTCCCCCAAGCTCATCCCCCCATTCCTCACCCCTCAGTTTCTCAACGCCAGGCTTAATGGACTTTTTCTTGCCCTCAGCTTTCTAAGGAAAAAATCCTTCACCCCTTCCCGTACCCTCACCTGGCTAATTCCTGTTCATCCTTTATAGCCAAGTTAAACATCATTTCCTCACAAAGGAAATGAACCCTAGATCCTAGACTCCCTTTCAATATGTAGCCATAAAGTTCCTTTTCCTAGCAGAATATTCATGGATTTTATTTTAATATCTGTTTAAGGTTTGTCTTTAATAGACTATAATGTCTATGACATCAGAGACTTTATCCATTTTACTGTATTCCTAATACCTTACTTGGTGCTGGGTATATAGTATGTACTCAATACCGGTTGAATGATTTAATAAACAAAAAAATGCATACAGCACAGTGACCTTTTCAATGAAATATATAATCCAAACATCAGATGTCTTTACTTATTTTTAATGAATAACATGGATGGAAGTAAGAATTTGCAGGAAAAATTCTCACAGAACACCAACATATCACTTGTCCTAGACTTAGCATCAGCAAAAGTTGGATAAGGTAATATAAACAAAAATAACAACACTCGTGTTTACACTGTTGACCAGCTCATTGTTGAAACTGATCACTTGCATGGCCCTGCAGTATTCTGCTTCCTGTGTCTTTCTGATCCCATCTGTTCTTCCTTTATATTCTTTTCTTCTTTCATCTCCTCTCATGAGGGCATTCTCCTGAGCTTACTTAACCTGCTGGGTTTTTCCCTTTATAGTTGTGCTAATGGATTGATCTGTGTAAATCTTTATAAATGAACCCATACCAATCTGTGTCTTCTGTTATAGTCATACATGGAGGTAAAGCATAAAAGATGAGAACCTCTTGTGTTTTTGTTTTCAACCAAAAGCATTGTTTTTGTAAAATTTCTAATGATTTTCTTTCTAAAATGTTTCTGTGTTATAAAAAGACAGATAAAATAGTACTGTAGACTTGCATTGCTTATTTTGGTAATTTTGTTTTATTATCTGATGTGAATGAACATCTTCTATAAAATTCTCTTACAGCATCTCCATGAAATGAGTATTTTGGGAAAATCAGAATTAGAGAAAACTGTTGAACATTTGACATGTGTTAATCACCAGGTAATTTATCAAACTGAATTTGGGGTATATTTTGTTGTATGAATGACTATTTTAATTATAGTTTTAATGTACTGTATGTTTTTTTTTCTTTATCTTTTTTTTTAATTCACATCTTTATTGGAGTATAATTGCTTTACAATATTGTGTTAGTTTCTGCTCTATAACAAAGTGAATCAGCTATATGTATACATGCATCCCCATATCCCCTCCCTCTTGCGTCTCCTCCCACCCTCCCTATCCCACCCCTCTAGGTGGTCACAAAGCACCGAGCTGATCTCCCTGTGCTATACAGTTGCTTCCCACTAGCTATCTATTTTACATTTGGTAGTGTATATATGTCCATGCCCTCTCTCACTTCATCCCAGCTTACCCTTCCCTGCCCCCAGCCCCCATGTCCTCAAATCCATTCTCTACATCTGTGTCTTTATTCCAGTCCTGACCCTAGGTTCATTGGAACCATTTTTTTTTTTTAGATTCCATATATATGTGTTAGCATATGGTATTTGTTTTTCTTTTTCTTTTTTTTTTTGTTTTTAAAATTACAAAATAATATGTTAGAGAAACTGTATAACAGTGACTAGGAGTATGTACTCTGAAGGTTGACTACTTAGATTCAGATCCATCTTTGTCACCTATTACCTGTAGGCAAGTTTCTTAAACTTTTCATCCCTTAATTTATTTGTAAGATAGAAATGGTGCTACTTACTTCTTAGAGTTTTTATGAAAATTAAATGAGTTAATAGATATCAAGAACTTAGTATAGTTACTAACATATCGTAAGAACTCAGTAAGTGTTAGCTATGATTATTGTTGTTTTGCTCTTGTTTAAAAAATCATGTAATACAGACTTAGAGTAAAAAGTGAAAATCATTTTCACTCCTTATTGCTCTCACTAGAGATAGGGCTTTTAACAAATTGGTATGTGTTCTGATAGTCTTTTTTTCTTTCTGTGTTTGTTTTGACTAGTTTCGTTTTCCCTGTCTTCACTGTTTTTATTTGTCTACTAATTCTATCATCTGTTTCTATCAGCTTTGGGCCAGTTGATTTTTTTCCCTCTTCCTCATAGGTTGTATTTTCCTGCTTCTTTGTATGCCTGGTAACTTTAGACTGGGTGTCAGACATTGTGAATTTTATTTTCTTGGTTGCTGGAGAGCTTGTATTCCCAGAAACACTCTTGAAGTTTGTTCTGGGATACACTTAAGTCAGATGGAAGCAGCTTGTTACTTTTTGGTTTTGCTTTTAAGCTTAATTAGGTGGGACTAGAATGGCATTTAGTTTCAGACTAATTTTGTTTTACTACTGAAACCAAATCTTTTTGAGTACGCTCACTACCAGTTTCCTCATGAATTATGAGGTTTTCAAATGACTGATGGGATAAGAACCTATTCCTGGCCCTGCATGAGCCCTCAGTACTGTTCCCTCTAACTCTTTGGTTCTTTCCCTGGCCTTGGGTAGCTCTCTGTGAGCTGTGCTCTACTCAGCTGAAGATTCAAGGGGCACCCTTTATAGGCCTCTGGTGCTCTCACTCTGTGCAGTTCTCCTCCAGCATCTGCCCTGCAAATTCTAACTGCTTTGGCCTCCCTTGACTCTCAGTCCTGTATTCTGAACTTAGGGGAATCACCAGGTCCAGCTGGTTTCTTTCCCTGTGCCTCAGCCTGGAAATTCTTCAGGCAATAAACTGGGACAATTATAGGGCTCATCTCACTTGTTTCATCTCTCAGGGGTCACTATCCATCATTGCCTAATGCCCAGTGTCTTGAAAACCATTGTTCCATATACTTTGCCCAAATTTTTAGTTACTTCAGGTAGAAGGGTCCCTGCCACTCTAGCCTGCCCAGAATCTGAAAGCAAGAATTAATGAACTGGAAAATATATCTGAAGTACCAGAAGTCATTGGAAAGAGACTAGGAGATAGAAAATATAAAATAAGTTAAAGCCTTAGAGAATAAAGTGAGAAGGTCCAACATTTATTTAGTCAAAATTCTAGGAGAATATAATAAAATATGGGAGAAGGCTGTATTTGAAGACATAATAACTGATACTTTTCTAGGTATGATAGAAAACACAGGAATCCTCTGATTCAGGATGTACAGTGAATTCCAGTAGCATGACAAATCCCAAGCAAGATAGATAAAAAGAAAATCCATACCATTTTCATAGCAATAAATAATACAAGATACTTATGTATAATTTTGCAGGATCTTAATAGAAAACATTTTGCATCCTTACTGAACGACATTAAGGAAGACCTAAATAAGTGGAGAGATATATCCAATTTATTAAAAAGGTGACAGATACTACGTTTATAAAAAAATGTAAATTCTCGCCAAATTCATCTGTAGAGTTGATGTAGTTTCAGCTGAAATCTCAAGAAGATGGGTGGGTGGGTGGATGTGTGTGAGAGTGAACACTGACAATAGATTTTAAAATTTACATGGAAGCAAAGAGCCAAGAATCACAAATTTTAAAGAAGAACGTGGTGTGGAACTTGTCTTACTAGATATGAAGGCTTTAGAGTCATTAATTAAGATAGGGTGGTAGTGCTCAGGGATTAAGAGAGTGATAAAACCCAGTAGAGGGCAAACCCACAAAATTGTTTCTGGGACAATTGTTCATATATATGTATATAAAAAAGTAATTGGGGACTTCCCCTGTGGTCCAGTGGGAAAGACTCTGCACTCCCAATGAAGAGGGCCCAGGTTCGATCCCTGGTCAGGGAACTAGATCACACACACATGCCGTAACTAAGAGTCTGCATGCCGCAACAAAAAGATCCCAAATGCCGCAACGAAGATCTCGTGTGCCACAACTAAGACCCGGTGCAGTCTAGATAGATGGATGGATGGATGGATGGATGGATGGATGGATGGATGGATGGGTGGATGGATGGATAGATGGATAGATAGATAGATTTTTTTAAATAAAAAATAAAAGAGGAATTGGATCCTACCTAAAATATACCAGACCCAAAAATCAGTTCAAGGTTACTTGCAGCCTTGAATGTTCAAGAAATAGCTAGAAATTTTAGAAGAAAATACAAGAGAAAAATCTTTTTTACCTTGGCAAAATAATAATAATAGCAATCATTTATATAGCATTTACTGTGTGTCAGGTACTATTCTCAACATTTTATATATATTCATGTATATAGTTTTAGTTCTCACAACAGCCATAAGAAGTAAATGCTAATATTATCCTTATTTCACAGATGAAGAAACAGAGGGGAAGCTTGCCCAAGATCACACAGCTAGCAGGTGTCAGGTGCCAGTGTTTGCTCCTAAACAAGACACAAATAAGTTTATTCCTTTAAGGAAAACATAGATAAATAGGACCACATTGACAAGAACATCTTTGTTTATCAAATAGCCATAAATTGAAAAGACAAGCCACTAATGCAGAGAACAACTTACCATACATTTAACCTAAAAAAAACTCAGCAGAAGATGTGAATTGACACTTCATGGCAGAAGAAATTATAAATGGTTAATAAATATAAAAAGATGTTCTACCTCAATAATAGGGGAAATACCAGTTACAACCACAGCAAAATCATTTCACATCCATCAGAAATTAACAAGTTATAGCTAGTATTATTAGTTTTGTGAAGCTTCTGGGAGTGCAAACTGGTGGTACCTCTTTGGAGAATAACTTGACATTGTTCTAGGTTAGCAAAGGCATACTCTGTTAGCCAGCAAATACATTTGTAGATATGAACCCTGGATCAAAGTCAATGAACTATGGCCCCTAGACCAAATCTGGTCTCCAGTCTGTTTTTGTAATAAAGTTTTTATTTGAACACAGCCATGCTTATTTGTTAATACATTGCTTATGGCTGTTTCTTTGTTACAGTAGAGTAGTGGCAAAGGACCATATGGCTCACAAAACCTAAAATGTTTACTCTCTGACAGAAAAAAGAAAACAATCTGGATGTCAGTTGTGAGGAAAATAAACAGTGGTAAATCATACAATGGCGTGTTACAGAGCAACAAAAATGAATGAATAATAGCTACAAACATCAACATGCATGAATCTTGCAAATATGATGTTGAAGAAAACATGCAGTGTGGTTCTGCTTATGTAAAGTTGAAAAACATGCTAACCTACCTAAACTGTAAATTGTTTGGAGATTCATACAAATGTGGTGTGCTAAGGAAAAGCAAGAAATGAGAAACAGAAGACTCAGGTTAGTGAATACTGTGGGCACGAGTTAGGGGATGTCACTGGAGACTGCTCACAGTAGTGTCAAAGGTTCAGGTAATATTTTTTAAGCCAGGTGATGGGTACACAAATGTCCCTGTTTTTAATCTTTATACCACACATGTACTCTTGTTTGAACAAGAATTCTGGAAGATTTTTAGTGCAAAAAAATTTTTTTTTACCTTTCCCACCTCTGTATCCCACAAATTATCATCCACAACTCTCTTTCCTGGTGTTTACCTCCCTGTTTCTAAATAATGTGCTTGTGCTATTTAGTCTTTATTGATTTAAGGTTATTTAGTGAGTCTCCGTGATGGTAGATGATGGATTAGCACTCCCCTTTTCTTTCCCCATTACATAGTTTAATTACATATTTTGCTCACTTAAGTAGTTATTGTTTATATTACCAAGACTTCTCTTGGTTTACAGCTCAGCCAAGTGGGACAGTACTACTCTTATCTTTTTTCTTGTAGGCCATTTTCCTGGAGTTAATAATTGCTTTTGTTTTGTTTCATTTTGTTATTTGTTACTTTTCTGTTTTTCGTTGCTAATTTTTATCAAGAACTCCATCTCTGCCACATGCCTTTCAATATTTTTTGAGTTTTCAAATTTACCAGTTCTGGTCTTTTTTCCCCGAATACATCCCTTCTTGAGCTTTCTATCTTGATTCATTATGGACTATGTCTCTCCATAGCTGTCCTCATAAGACTTGCCCTGTCCCCGTCTCCTGTGTTGAACCTCATGTTTTCTTCTTTTCTTGGTTTGTTCCTTCATTATGGTATAGCATCTTCCCCAGCAGTTTCCTGAAAAAGAGTACATGGGAGGAAATTTTTTTGGTACTCATCTGAAAATATCTTTATTGAACTTTCATAATTTATGATTTGGCTTAGGCATATGGCAGTCTAGATTGGAAAATTATTTTCACTAAAAATTTTGAATACTGTTCTCCATTGGTCTTTCAACTTTCTTTGAGATGTCTGATGCTATTCTTTTCTGAGTCCTCTGTACATGACATGTTTTTATTTCTGAAAGGATTTGGGGTTTTCTCTTTATCTTGTGTCTTCAATTTACTATACTCTTCTGTTTTCTCTCTCTGGAGCTTTATCTGTTGGTTTTAGACTTCCTAAAGAGATCTGATGTTCTTATCCTTTATCCTTTATTTTCTCTTTGACTTTTAGTTCTACTTTCTGGGAGATTGCCTCAACTTTGTCTTTTAGTCCTATTGATTTTTTTAATATATTGGATTTCGAAGAGAATTTTCTAGAAAGAGATAACTGGGGTATGAGTGTCCCAGTATATAGACTTTCAGCCAATCTCCTTGTTCAGTTCTCCTCGTGATCCCACCTCACGGCTTCATGCCTCCATGTGTTGAGCTTCTTCAGGCTAAGTCAACTGGCTGCGCTCATTGGTATTCCCTACTGTGGCCATTTTAGGTCAGTGATTCTCTACTGGGGTCAGTTCTGCCTCCTAAGAAATATTTGGCAATATCTGGAGAATTTTTGTCTGTCACAATTAGGGGAAAAAGTACTTCTTGTATCTGGTAAGCAGAGGGCAGGGATGTTGCTAAACGTCCTACAGTGCACAGGATGGCGGCCCTCACAACAAAGAATTATCTGGCCTCAAAGGTCATTAGTTCCTAGGTTCAGACCCTGCTTTAGATTGTATATATCTTTCTTCCACTCTGAACCACTCTCTGCTCTTTGTCTTCCACAAGTTTTTGAAGTCACTTGTTCACCCTTGTTTTCTCTCATGTTCTCTCCGTACTTATGAGTATATAACCTTATTTCTTTACTGTCATTTTAGCACTGTTTCCAGAAGAAGGGGTGTTAAAAATGTGTGTGGTCAGTCTACAGTTTCAACTGGAAGACTGAAATTTATCACTCATGTTTCTTGGTTTTGAATTTTGTATATAGATCATTATTGCATCTAGAATTTATTTTTGTACTTAAAATAAAATAGAATCTAGCTAATTTTTTGTATCCAATGAGTGGCTATCCCAGCTCTATTTTTAGAAAGTTTATTCCTTTCCCACTTTCTTAAAATGCTGCCTTTTCTAAACTTACATCTGTGATGTATCTGCTTGTCCATATGTGAAATCCATACTGTCTTAATTATAGTAGCTTTTTCATTTATTTTGATATCTCATAAAGCAAGTCTAGCTGCAGTCTTCCTCCCGCCCCCCATTTTTACTGTTTTTTCTTAACTTTCTTTTTTCCTAAATAAATTTTAGAATGAAATCTGAGTCACCCATCTAATTTTAAAAAGGTTATGTCAGGATTCTTACTGAAATTTTATTGAATTTACAGTTATTTCAGGAAATTTTAATCCCTTTCCAATATTGTGTTCCCATTCAGAAATATGGTGTGTCTTCACATTAAGTCAGGTTGTGTTTTACGCTCTTCAGGGACATGTTACAGGTTCCTCATATAAATTTTGTCCATTTTGTGTTTGGGTTACGGTATTTTCTGCTCTGATTTTTCTTCAGTTCAGTCCTAGCTACTTTTTTTTTTAGAAATTTCTCAAAATTTTGACCTGCTAGTGGTTTCCCTTCATTGCTGTTATGGATACATTCTTTTCTTCCTTTCTTCCCTTTCTTTTTTGGTATCTTTTCTTTGATTTCCATGATATTGAAGAGGAGAGAGAGAAAAATGTGTTTTCCTATTCTGACATCTAGAACCTAAAGTGTACACATGACTTTTAAAGTATTTTTAAATAAATCTAATTTATTTCCTTAGTTTTCTTCCAGAAATATTATGAAAGAGTGCTTAAGGAAAAGAAACTGAGACATATACCTATTAATTTTTAAAATTTAATTATAGCTTGAAAACGAAAAATGTGAATTAAAGTCTAAAATGTTAAAAATGAAAGAAACAATAGAGTCTTTAGAGAAAAAAGTAGAACTCCAAGCTCAAAAACTTAGCCATGTGGCTGGTGACTCATCTCATCAGAAAACAGAGATGAACTCACTTAGGTAAGTTTATTGAAAGTTTCATTTCTCTTCTGGGAACAAGCTTGTTGCTATATAAGGTTCATAATGGTGGCATTTTGGACTAGGCCTTTGAAAAGCAGTAGTCCTCAAAGTTGGCTTTGCAGCAGAATCACTTGCTGGAGCTTTTGTAATGTATGGATTTAGGGACTGATCTCCGGAGGTTCCTGTTCACTGAGTGAATCTGGGTAAGTTTTGAGTATCTGTACTTTTAAAGACTTGCATAGCTTGATATGATTGCAGGCAAATTTTTGTACCTACTTCCTTCTAAAATCTCCCTAACAGATACAGGCATACTTTGTTTTATTGTGCTTCAATTTATTGTGCTTTGCAGATGTTGTGTTTTTTACAAATTGAAGGTTTTTGGCAATCCTGCATCAAGCAAGTTTATTGGTGCCGTATTTCCAACAGCATTTGCTCACTTCATGTTTCTTTGTCACATTTTGGTAATTCTTGCAATATTTCAAACTTTTTCATAATTATTATATTTGTTATGATGGTCTGTGATCAGTGAGCTTTGACTATTACTATGACTCACTGAAGGCTCAGATGATGGTTAGTATTTTTTAGAAATAAGGTTTTTTAAATTAAGGTATGTGCATCGTTTTTTTCAGACATAATGCTATTGTACACCTAATAGACTACAGTGTAGTACAGACATAACTTTTATTTCTTATTTTTTTAATGGCTTTGAATTTTTAATTTAATTTTTTTTTATTGAAGTTTACAATGCTGTGTTAGTTTCTGGTGTACAGCAAAGTGATTCACTTATATATATATATGCATATATATATATTTATATATATAGTTTTTCATATTCTTTCCGTTACGTTTTATAACAAGATATTGATTATAGTTCTCTGTGCTATACAGCAGGACCTTGTTGTTTATTTTATATATAGTAGTTTGTATCTGCTAATCCCAAACTCCTAATTTCCCCTTCCCCCTTCCCCTTTGTTAACCGTAAGTTTGTTTTTTATGTTTGTGAGTATTAAACATAATTTTATATGCCCTGGGAAACCAAATAATCCATATGATTCACTTTATTGCCATATTTTCTTTACTGTGGTGGTCTGGAACCAAACCCACAATATCTCCAAGGTATGCCTGTACTTCAGATTATTTGTACTCCTTAGTGTAGAATTGCTGGAAATTACAGAGTTTTTTGCTACCTATGTCATTGTTCTTCTCGTTCTTCTTTCAAAGAAGTGTAAAATCAGAATATTTATATACAGAGTCTAAAAGGTGATGTGTCTGAAAAATGGTAAAAGTCAGTATGGCCCAAGTAGGCTGTATCTGCAGGTTGAAGTCAGGTAATAAAGAACTTGGTATGATAACCAAGAGTGTCTGGATTTTATCTTATAAACTTGGAGAACAAACAGATTTTTAACCAAGGGGGTGACTTCCTACCATGCCTCTTAGGAAGTGAACTCTCACAAAAATAGGGAAGGTGAATTTGGAGTCTTAAGAGACTGATGGCAGACAATGGAGACAATGTGTCTGGAGTGAAACAGTGGCAATGAACTTGGAGAACAGTGGCGAGATTTAGGAAACATTTGTTACACAAAATCAAAACAAACTATGTAATAAGACCAAGAGCTGGCTGTTTGTTTAATTAAGGAATACTGTTTAGGAAGAACTAAGGTAGAAGCTTCTTTTTCCTTTTTTTTTTTTTTTTTTCCCTTGCAAGGCACTACATACATCCTATGTAGGAGAGCTACCTGAATGGAATGGCCTCTCCCCCTCTGGTTCATGTCTATGTTCAACTCCAAAGTACAAATACCATGGTATATTTCTGTCACCCAGAATTACTAGTCTATCCTTTTCCGTTTTGTGTCCAGATGATTGGAGCTGCATTTAGTCCATTTTGCTTTTTCCTTCAAACTATAGCTATAACTTCCCTTTCCTTCCCTCACAGGATGCCCTTTCCAGTCTTATAAGACAGAGCTTTCAGTGCCCTCCCTTGGATCCCCTACCGTGCAGCTCCTTTGCTATACTAATACCCTTTCCTCTTACCCAGCCTGCTACTTCCCTCATCTAGGAATAATCCAGTCACTGTGTTATAGGAATGGGTTGTGGAGAATTTTCTCTTTACCTTTGTTTGTCTGTAAACACAGACAGGTAATAATGGGGAGATTGCAGGATTCCGTGACTTTTTTTGCTCTGACAAATATCAGACTTGTCTCTGAGGAAGGTGTGTCAGTCACATTCTCCATATCAGTGTACATCGGTAAACATTAGAACCATGAGTTCAGGCTGTCAAGTTCACATCCAAAGCTGAACCCAATACAAACATAATACCAAGAACTGTATGGAAATAAAGTCGCCTTGTCCAAACCTCATGCAACTTTTGATATGTTTAATAGAGATCTTGCTGTCCCTTTAATCACATCAAGTTCTGTTTCCCTTAACATGAAGACATTTAAGAAGCTGATACTCAGATAGATAAAGCATATATTCCTTTTCATCCACCTGGTGGGCCCATTTTCTCTTTCCC